GGCCTGAATGCTTCTGAACGCCTGAGCTTCACAGCTCTCCAGGCAAGGACTGCGAATCAGAATGAGACACTGAACACACCAGGCGAAGGAAACGTCATTAGACAGGATGCTAGAGCTTTGTATCTGCTGGTGGGAGAAAGCAAGAAGGGGCTGGAGGGGGAGAAGATAGGTATTAGAATGGACATCATGTCCTCAGACTGCTTCACAGTCAGGAAATCAAGGCTACTGTGGAGATTAAGTGGGACATTTTGTAATGCATCTTCAGCTGTACCTCTTTTTACAGATGTACTAGACAAAACAGCAATGTGATGTGAAGGTACTAGCAGATGGGGAGATGGGAGGAATACTGCATTGAAAATTGTGAATTAGTCCATCCAAAGATATTTGAAAGACATATTTACACTATTTTAGTACCTGTTTGTCCAGCCCCAGGAAGAGAGCAGAAACAGACAGAGGCGTGTTTTTTCTAATTCACTGTCTGATTTTTCACATCAGAAAAATCTCCACTCCCCAAGGAGTCAGATTGTTCTAGGGGAGTTGTATAAAGAAAACCTGGAGGTAGGTTCCTTGTTCTCTGCCAAACATCTGGCAGCTTTTGAAAAGCTGCAACTCAGTATCAGCATTGCCAGTTGCTTCCTCTTTAGGCAAGTACTTTCTTTACCATCACACAAGAAGAGGAACAGCCTTCCCACAGCTCATGCTAAAGTAAAAGAAAATAATATGCGAGTTCAGGCACCAGACCCTGCTGCATTTGGGCCACAGATTATCTTGTCCCCAGCACCTGGAGAACATGAACGTTATCATGATTTTCTTCCCAACTAACATGATCATTTCCACTTCCCTGTTCTTTCTGTAATCCATATTCCCCAAACACAAATAGTTCCACTGCTTTGGAAATCTATGAGCCTGAATCCTGGATGTATCAGAGAAATGCAAAGTAACTGCCATTGCCTTAGAAATCCAGGCAGGGTGGATGCTGATACTAGTGGTGGTAGGCAAAGCCTTGCCCACAGGTTTTACAGAACAAACTGCAATCCTTTGTAAGATCAAGGAGAATTTTCCAACTGCTCAGCTGTTTTGCAGAAATGGGAGTTTCAGACTGTGGAGACAACAATTTCAGGAGTGATAATCTTGGCTTTTGTGTGTGTGTGTGTCAGTTCTTTGATTAGTCATCCCAGGCAGCTGCTCCCATGACATGTGAAAAGGCATCATTATATAAAAACTTGCATGGGCAAGCTAGCTGGTAATTGGAAGTAAGAACCATTGCTACATCCTCAATATTGTTTTTACCCTGGTAAATCATCGTCTTCACTAGAGCTGCTCATTATTTGCTTAAGAACAAAAAGTGCTCTTTTTTTTTCAGAGAATACAGAAGAATACAGAAGATTTCCTTAATTTTTTTTTTTTTTAACATTCAAGATGCTGGACTTTAAACATACCTATTACACCATTACAAAAAGGTCTCCAGCAAAAGACTATCATTGACTATACTGATACTTTTTGCATACACACTTTTCAGGAACATTTTAGGCACAATGGAAAGAAATGTTGATGAGCTGTGTATTTGTCAGAAGTGACATCAGTTGTTAAAAAAAAAAGAAAAACAAAAGTCTGCTGTATCTTCAACAGAAAACAAGTTTTTGACTTTTGAAATGGAATAGATACATTTTAAAGAGTTTTTTATTGCAGCTTTTTGAGAGGCACAAACATAAGCTTTTAAACAACACTATAAAAACGTTTGATACAAGGATTTGAAATACTCATTTTGAGTGTATTGTTTGAAATGGGCTATGCATTCACAGCCAGTGAACTGAAGCATGTTCCTCTCAAATGAAATTTCCTGTGTACACAATCCAACCTTACCTCTGGGACAAGATATACACTCAGTAATTAATCACAACATTACTCAGCCTTTTTGGTGTTTACCACCTTCCTTCAAGCAATAGACTCCAGGGCTATTATGATAAGAATAGAGAATAGGCAGGAGCCTGCAGGGGAACTGAGTGCATTTCCTTATGAAGTGCAACTATGCTTATATTCATAGTTTAAGAATATCCTAAAACAGAAAGATTTGGTTTAAACCCATGAAGAAAACAAATATTCTTTGCTGTACGGACACTTGCTTCAGACTTAATAGTGTACACAAAATATTTTCCCTGCATGTATGCAGAAAAGAAGGCCACACAGGATTAATTTTGCAGCACATTATATAAGGGCTTAGATATGTAATTCATTCAGACTTCAGATGAAGCAAACCACACTCACTCAGCACTTGCTTCTGTCATGTTTACTGGCATGCCCTGACTGCATTTGAGCTCACAGTGCCAGTCCTGTTTAGCAGAAACATGTGCTGTAGCTGAACAGGCATGCCACGGGAAGTTTCTGTTACTGTTTAGTCTCACATAAATACCAATCACTCTAAGGGAGACTGAAGAGAATTTAGCCCTTTTTTCAATAGAAAAGCCCTATGAAATGAGATAGTGGGCCTGCCTCTCCTCTCAAGCTGCTGCAAGTCACACAATACTTAACATTGAAGCCATTTTACAGCTTAGTTTCATGGTAGTGTGAAGCTGCTGGAAGCTCCTTCCCTTACAGTGCAAAAAAGGACACCACATAATTGATTGAGGAGAAGCAAATCCATCATAGCTGAGATTTATGGAGTTTAACAGAAGCTTAAAATTAGAAGTTGCAGTTCTTATAATTTCAAACTCATGAATCAGGCAGTGTTCAATACTCAGTTGCAACCTGTATTAGGATAAACAGGAAAAGAGAAGTGGGGCCAATGGCTTTTTTAAATTACAGGCAGATTTATTTTCTGATGAGTGATCTGTTTAAAGCAAACTCCTAATTTTGAACTGCCTCTCTTTCTTAAATACTAGGGTGTTCATCCAGACTTCAATTTTGCATTAGATATTGGCAAAGCATGACGTGAGTTTTAAAAGAGATTGTCTTGCATGCAAGAAATGGCAACTGGAGATTCTTTCCAGCAGTTTTGCAAACTTTCTAACCTAGTCTGCGCTGTGCTAGCATTAGAACTCCTATCCTTCCTTCCTGCAACACCACTTTCCCACATTTTGTTAGTGTACACAGTAGTTTAGCTTTGGTATTCAGAGCCCTGCATCAATTGTACCTGGTGTTTGCAATTCTGTAGTTGGGAAAGATCAACTTTGTTGGAAAGTGGACCAAACTGCACTTGAGATGGGGCCAAGCTATAGAACTGAGGCTGTTGGTCCTATGCAGTCCGTGTTTTGACCTTCATTTGAAAACTTTATCACTGCATACACCAGCCATGTTCTGGCAGTTTTAGGGTGTAGCTTGCCTTAAGCTAATAAAGGTTTCCAGATAACATTGCTTAAAGATTTCAGTCAACACTTTATCGGGGTGGATAAATAGAATTAAGAGTAAGTATTCTTAATTCAAAATGCAATCAGTTGATCTGCAAAGTAAAGCAAATTACACTTCTTGACTGTGGATTTACAGTGTACCTACTGGCAGGAAGCTTTGACCACAGAGAAATTTGATACCACTCAAGTGGGAATGATATTTTACACCAGTTTGTGAAGCTTTTTCCAACAAGTGTTTTCCAACTATTTCCATGATAAACATATTGTCAGTCCAACTTTAATAAATGTATTTACACTGCTGATTTTGGAATACTGTCAGTAGGACAAATGTTAGATCTATTTGAGTACCAAGCTGTAATTCTGTGTGATTACCACTTGTGAGAAAATGGCTGAGTGTCCTTGAAACATTCAATTTGCCTATACAATGGAGTTTGTGCACTGGGGAGTACATGGCTTATCCCAAGTACTATCACTTATATATAATGCTACTACTGACAGCTGAGAAAAAAACAATTAATTCCACAGTACCAAGCTTTGTTCTGTCAGATCTCGGTTTCACAGGCAAACTCATCAGGAGATTGTGCATGTACTCCTTGAGTACTATTATTTTTACTCTAGAGCAAATGAGGTATCATGGTTTGAGGCCCAAGGCTCAAAATATCAGTCTCCACAAGGAACACTATCTCTCCTTTCAATCAACAGATGTGGTCTTCCAAGCTTACAAATCCAATTCTATTCCCACAGCGCTGTTAAGTACAATTAATGCTACTGAAGTCTGTGGAATCAGTCAACATTAAAGAGCAAATTATAGTTAGGGAGGAAAAGTAGCATTCCTTAGAGGCATTTCTCTTTACTGTGCCTACAACTCTGCACAAGTTTTCTACTGGTTAGTAGAAGGGGAAATTCTTGATCTCAAATAGGTATCACTTCAAGCACTGAAGCCACCAGCTATTCTTGATTCCCATCTATGGTATAAACTCAAAAAAGCCATCAGGATAAGTCACAATATTGGCTCCGACCCTGATTACATAAACAAGAAGAACACATGGTTGCTCTAATAGCATATATGGTTATTCTTTTGGTGTTCTTGTACTGCATTTTTATTGCTTTCAGATTTACTGCAAACAGATCAGGCATCTTGTTTGCTTAGACCTATGCTGGGTGAATTCAGTTCTCTGTTTGCTAGCTTTTGTATTTGGAAAGCTCTGTAGCCACTTTTTGCAATGACAGGTCCATTCCTGTCATAATCTTCTACTAAGCTGCTTATTAACAATATCACAAATGATCACTGCTTTAATTAGTGCCACTATTAATTGTGCATAACATTGCATTTTTACAGCTTTATCATATGATGATCAATGATCTCACCTTTGTTCCTGCAAACATACAATCTGTGACTTAAGTACGAACAGAAAATCAGCTACTGTCCATTTACATGACTAAAATAACCCCTGTTCTGAAAAGCTTGCTCCATAAAAAACATTAGAAATATATAATCAAATGTACCATGTTTTCATCTCTTTTCCTGAGGAGGGTGCAAGAAAGGGGGGGTCACCTTGTTTCACTCAATGATAAATCAACCACTGTCCTGTTACGAGTAGCAAAGGGACAGTAAATTCTCTTGTTATTAAACTAACAGCTTGTTTTGTACCACAGATCTACTATTATTCAGAAGGACAGTCTTATTCCTACGGAGAGTTTAAGGACAGGATCACAGCTTCGACAAGTCCAGGGAACGCATCAATAACGATCTCCAACATGCAGCCCTCAGACACTGGTTCCTACACCTGTGAAGTTTTCAGCCCCCAGGATGATGCTGGACAGAGTCAAAAATCAGTGATTGTCAACGTGCTGGGTAAGTAACTTTCCTCTGTGCTGCTGTTTTGTCCTTTTCCTGCCTTTTTACAAGAACTGAGCTCACGTCACAGCAGCAGGGGGAATAGCAGAGAAGTGATAAACAAGGCCCATGATGCAGAAAAAGGGCCCATTTATGTATTGACGCAGTTTTGCTCCGAGGCTTTGGAGGCAGAGAGAGCTTGTGGTGCCATCTAGCTTCCAGACAAAGCAGGTCTCGTCTGATCCCACTCGCAGCTGTGTTTACTTGGCCTGCAGTAAAATCCCATTCTCCCACAAGAGGCCTTTATATTCATCCTCCCCAAAAGCTACCTAAACAGGTAGCTGGAACTACCCAACTTCACTAGATTTTTGATGTCGGAAAAGAAGGGATACTGTTTCATTACAATAAGAAGCCCTTCTAGCCATAAGTGACAACTCCCCTGGGAAGCCATTGCTTTCAGCATAACCCAGGCCCAGCAAAGACCAGCACTGACTGAGGTCTAACGGCTGTGATGACCTGTGTGAATGTGGGACAGGCAGCAGGACAGCCAAGGGTTCTATGACACCCTGTCCTCCCAGAAGCTCTAGAAACTCAGTATTGAATGGAAATACGATTAAATCTATTTTGAATTGAAGAAAACACCAGTTCAGCTGTCAGCGGGCTGCACAGAAGATGGAAAAAGAAGTGGAATGAGGTGTCTTCCTCCCTAGTAAGAGAAAAGTTTGCCCTAACCCCATCTAAACATTGCTTTTGTAATAAGAATTCATTCCTGATCGCAGTTACAAATCATAGCTGTATGCAAGCAAACTCAATATGATTTACCTATCTGCCATGGATAAGACAAAGACACGTGTAAATCCAATCTCTGACAGTCACATTTTCAAAGTACAATTACTAATCCTCATCTAAAATCCCCCAAAGAGTAAATCTCAGAACAATTAATTAAGAAACCATAGTATTCAAATAGAAATTCATTTATGCACATAAAATTTCACTGTGTTCATTGGTTGTATAGTTTCACTGATGTCACTCTACAGAACTACAACAGCACATTAGATGTAGGAAATGAAAAATTATAGCTCTAAGCATGTCTTTTGTGTATAAAATGAGAAAGCAGTATCCAAATAGATTATTTATTTATTTTTTTAAATGTATTTCCTCCAAACCACAAGACACTGAAGTATCAGGCTTGACCCTCTCCTTTTAGGTAGAAAAGCTCCTGTGGCCCTACAGGAAAAGATGCTATGTGGCAGAAAATCATTCATGATGAACAGGGACTGACTCATCATTAGTTGATAGTTTTCATCACCTCCATAATACAACTTAGCATGTAGAAGGAAGACTAGATAATAGTACTAGGCTATGTATATACATTTAGTATGTTTAGTATTACTCAAATCTTCATAGATCTCTTGGCTAGATCTATAAACAAGCCTGTGCTCTCAGGTGGAACTCCGTAACTGGGGTTCAATTCTTTACTGCAGCAGCACAAGAACAGGTCTCAGTGTGGAAACCGCAGCCCTGGCCGTATACTCATGTGTCATTCTCATTGTTATTTTACAGTCAAACCCTCAAAGCCTTTCTGCAAAATAGAAGGAACGCCTGAAAAAGGCCATCTAATCTACCTCTTATGCAAGTGTGACCAAGGATTGCCTCACCCCACCTACCGCTGGTACAAAGTAGATGAGAACACCCTCACGCTGGTGACTGAACACTTCAGTACGTAACTACAGGACTACCACAGCGTTCAAGAGTGCTGTCATAGTACCGGCTAGGACTTCACACGTTTGGTATCGCATAGGGCAGTGAAACATACCTTCTCTTCTGATGCTCAATACCACAAATTCCTATTTTTACTTACTCAAATTGACCAATAGCTGTCACAAAGACCTAACTTGTTTGTTCTCTACTTTTTTTTCCTATTTGTTTTAATAAAAAATGTGGCATGTTGAAGTCTATACCATTACACTGAATTGTTAAAATGGGAGAAATATTTATACCATTACATCTCGCTTCCCTTGAAATGAACACACATTCAAAATAGGTCAAATTGTCAATCAGTTGCTAAGAACTCAATCCTGAAAGTCTTCTGTATTCATTATCTTTTCATTTATGAAATTATACTGGCAATATTATCTATTTACAGAGTATTACAGATGTATTTGCACTGTAGGACATACTTCTCACATTCTAATACACTCCTGCAGAGTCTACTCTGTAGTAATTTTTAAGGAAGCTATAAGTTTTTGATTCAAAGACTATTAAAAAAGTGAATGAAGGAAGGAATAATATTTTCCACCTCTTAACAGTTCTTAGAATTACCAGCTATAGATAACCATTTGCCTCTGAAGCATATGAATGGCAGGCTGTAACTGTTCTCTTCCGTCACAGATCCAGACACTGGCATTCTGTACATTGGCAATCTCACTACCTTTGAAACAGGACATTACCGATGCATAGCCAGCAACATCATGGGGAACAGTACTTGTGAGCTCGACCTAACTTCAATGCGTAAGTGAAACTAATCCCTTACACAATGTGTATGCTGCAGAAAAAATGCTGTAATATCCTTAAAATGAACATTTTTGGCAATACAAACAGCATGGGCATTGGAGAGCCACATTTGTGTGTAGATTTTTCATGTAACCAGTAACAGTAAATTAGTAAATTACATGGTTACTATAAGTAACCATGAGATATGTCCCCAAAATGGGTGCTCAATCATTCAGCGGTCTATAAAATGAAAATGGTAAGTCAGAGCTAGCAGCTGTACTGGAGACAGAAGTTTTCAGTGTTCACAAACAATCAGAGCATGCATTTTGTATCTCAATTGAACAACAGTGATAAAGACAACCTCCATTTCAGAATTTGTTTGAAAAGACTGAAGAGCAAAGGCTTTTCAACTACTGCCAAGGTTAACAGCCCAATACTTTCCTTACCGAGTCATAAATGTGGGGTTTTCTGGGGGTAAGAAGCTAACTACCAAGAAGAGAGGCAGTGGAGATCATAAAAGCACAGTTCTCTCTTTCCTAGAGCATCTTTGGTCTCCTCAAAGAACATTTTAGCCTTTAGCCTGTCAGACTGAGTGCCTTCTTTCTGCTGTAGCTTCCTCCACTGAATTTCTATAGGATTTTGCTGTAAAATTCAGGTAATCTTTCTTTATCTTTTTAAAATTTTCTTCTCCCTCCACCCAGATTCTGACGGTAATATTGTTGCTGGAGCATTAATTGGAGCAATTCTGGCAGCTGTTATCATTTGTGCTATCGTCTGGGTCTTAACCAAAAAGGCAAGGACAAAGAAGTCATCAAGTAATGAAATGCAGTAAGAATTTGCTTGCTTGATTTTAAGACAATTATTTCTGTAAAGTACTGTTGATAAACCAGAGCTAAGGTAGAATGTAAATGTTGTAAACATTTATAGAAAAGTAAATAATACAATGCTTGGGAAAACTTACACAGTGAGATTTTTATTTTTTTTTTTTGACTTTTAAACTGTTGCTCTTGTAACACAGGTTACCACTACACTCTTCCTTGTTTACATGCAGTTACCATCTAGCAGTTCCTAAAATAGTGATTTAGAAGTTTTTAAACAAAACAAGTTGAAAAATTTGGAAAAATGGTGTTTAAAATGTAAAAGTTAATGGTGGTTGTTAATAGTGGGTGGATGAAATAATAAAAAAGGAATAGCAACTAAGGGTTTCCTCAGCAAACTAACTGACTGACAACTAGATATGAGCATGGGCTATGGGACACATGCTGAAGATGCTCTAAGGAGATACTCAAATGGAAGCAGACACAAAGATTTACAAACAGAATGGAGCACAAAATGTCCATTTTGATCCTGCCCTGGAGCTGATTTTTCCTGTGCTTTGGTCACTCATTTGTCTCTTGAATTGCCAAATCTTCAGGATAAAGATAATTTCATATGCTGCACGAGCTGCATGTAGCCCCATGATGTTAAATGCTAAACACACAGCTGTGCCTGAAAAGATTGTCATCTGGATGCTGCCCTGGAGCAGAGCTCTCAGACTTCCTGAAGGGACTGGTGCTAACCCAGACCAGTGGCCAGTTGCTCACTCATGTACATCATTTCTGCTTTGAACTGAAGCTGCTTTAACATATAGGTTTGTGCTTGGATTCTACTCTATCTCACTATGTGGAATTAATCCACTCATATCTAATGTTTTTTACATGTGAAAGTACTTCAACATTGAAAGTTGTATTGTTTTGATGAGATGAATGGAATTCATTTGTTACTAAAAATATTTTTCTAGATGTCAGTCTCTTCAAAGCTTTTTTCTGACTGCACCCTATTTTTATGCATTTCAAAGGAACCCCAGATCTGCATGCAATTTCCCTGAAAGCTCACATTAACCAGTATGTTTTGCTATCCTTTCTCAGACACTGTCCAACAGCATTCAGTTTCTCATTCTCCCTTCATGACCTGGCAGTTAAACACATAAAAAATTATTACTTTTTTCTAATAGTATAGCTGTTAAAACTAGTGATGCAGACTGACTGAACTGTCAGTCTTTGCAGTGATTTTATAGTTTCTCAGGTGCTTTCACAAAAGAATAATAATAATATGGGGGCTACTGTTCAGATGAAAAAGCTACAAAGATTCATTCTTTCAAAAGACTCTAGAGTAGGCAGGACATCAATGTATGAAATCACAATCTTCCTCCTGTCTTCCTGCAGAGTAATGGCTCAGAAACATTCCAATGCAGAGTATGCTCAGGTACCTAATGAAGAAAATACACCTGCAACCACAGTTCTACCAAGCAATGTGACAAGTGAGCAACCTAGTGCTGATGAAGCAGCAGCGTCTGAAACACCAGAAAATGATGAGAAGCATGAAATGCAGCAAGAAGAAACAGCCTAAAGTTCATTTTAATACAGTTTTCCTCATTGGCTTTGGATCACATTATTAAAAAAAAAACCAACAAAAAACATCACTGAATTAACATAGCATTGTAGCTAAACTCATTTGTATTGTGAACCACTGGACTGGAGATTGAAAATGATGTTACAGACGTACTTCGTGAATAGCAGATTTGGCCTTTAAGGTTAACCACATTTAACTTATTATCTAGTTAAACATAAATGTAATTATAAAAAGGCTACCATCTGCAATCATCCAATCTAGTTTGCAAAGCTAATCAGAAAGCGGTCACAATCTTTGGAGAAAGTAAGAACTTCCCAGTCAATTAAAAGAAAGCTGTGTGTGCCCATGCAGTTCTGAATCACAGCAGCCTTCTCCACACAGCGTTTCCTGTGCACTGAGATCCACCATCACAGCCATTACATTGCTGTGCTTAAAAGATCTGGTTTTGTACTTCAGAAGTACAATCAAGCTTCATCAGAGTGCAAAAACAGATTTAAAGACTTGAACCACTGAAATCTTCTGTCTGAATTCCACATGAAGTTTAAAAAAAAAAATAAATAAATAAAAGGCAGGGAAACTTTTACTTCGTTACCAAACATGGGGTACTACTACGTTAGCAATGACCTTCTGACTTTAAGGCTCCCAAGACATCAGTGTTCCTGAGCTGTGCTTTTCAGCAGTTCTGGTTTTCAGTGTAATGGAGTTAGCAATTGGGTACCTACTTCAGACCTCAGCTGACTGGTTTCCAGACAATGGGAGCTGGAAACTCAGATCCTTTATCAAATCTAGGCACACAGGGCAGCAGATTCCCCATCAAAAGCAGATGTATCTGCTTTCAAACCTCAGAAATGAAGCTGTAAACACATCAGCTTCCTCTGCCTGATACGACTTAACAACAAAGTCACGCTACTACTCTTCTGATCTCTTTAGCCCAGTATAACTTTGTTCATTTCTGCTTTCAGAAGAGCTGGAGGACAAAGGGATTCCGGTTCAGGTTTGTTCAAGGAACAGACACTCAGACTCAGCAGCTCCCTCATGTTCTACATGAAGCAGATACTCCTGGAAATAAGGAGACGCTGCTTTCAGTCTTGTGCACTGCACAGAAACGTATCTGACTGAGGGATCTGCTGTGTTTGGGAATTTAAGTCTCCTATTGGATCTATTATTCATAAATCCTTTGGTGACTGTTCCTAGCCTGTAACCATTAGTTATATGCCTCATTCATCTTTCAAATAGATGAGATAGAGAGACAACTATGCTAAAATTTTCCTTTTTAGTTGCTACAGCTAAGTACCTTCACCAACATGTAAGGCATGAGGTCCTGCTGAAGATTCAGGTTGAATCATAAAACGGAACTGTATTCATTGTTCTTTCCACACAGTTCTGTAGCTTTCAAGATACGAGTGTTCCAGCCTTTAGCCTCATTCTAGAGGATGAAAGCACTTACAATATTCTGCTAACACTCTTTTGGCTAAGAACTGCTCCTGATACAACACACATCAAACCCCTACTCACACCAACACTGCCTCATTCTATAAGCGGATCTATACCCTCATTTCTCTCCAAAATACCCAGCCTAAGTCACAACCTGTACATATGCTTCTTCTTAATCAGGTGCATCTTTTATTAAATCTCGGATTTTACTATGCAAAATCTGCAAACTCTAGCCATGCAATTAGCTTTAGAGGCTTCATTAGTATTTTTTAGATTCGCACCCGCATAGTTTCATAGGCATGCAACAACCTGTCACTGAGCATGATCAGTAACAGCAGGAGTGCCATGTGGGTGCCATTTCTTACCAATAATGATGCGTAATGAGGTGATTCAAATGAATGATTGGTCCAAGGAAGCTCATTCCTTGGCTGATGCTGGCATTGACTTTAAATTGCTTTTCCTCAGATGCTCAAAGGCCTTTTTCTACTCTTGTCTTTCATGGATGAATACACACAACTCTCTTCATAGCTGTGCTAGTTCTAAAGTAACCTCCTGCATCGTGTCAATTATATTTTTGTTATTTGTATACGTTTCAGGTCTCCATGATACCAATGTGATTGCATGGGCAAAAGGGGGGAAATACATTATGTGGCCAGTATCATCAGTTTTCCTCATCTCTACACATTTCTCTGCATTTATTCCTCATACAACTCACCAGAGTACACCAGGAGCTTATTCTGGTGACTCTGTATTAGCTGTACAATGTAATTGCAGACTTCCTAGACCACCGCATTTGCTAAAAAGTAGAACTTGCTCAAGTTATGTTAATGCTTTATATAAAGCAAAGGACGGAAGGTCTTGATGAACGATCCCTCCCTTACTTCTACCCAGCACACTGCAATAGTTAAAAAACAATCCAACAAAACAAAAACCCAAAGAAACAAACGGAAAAAAGCAGAACAGATTGCTGGGGCTAAGGAAAATAACAAATACATTTGTTTGGGGTTTCCTAATACAGAAATGTTTCTGAAGCTTTCTCGCAGATGTTTGTCCTCATTATGAAGTTTCTCTTGTGTAAAATAACTTATAATAAAGAACAGGGCACTGTCTGTAGCTTTCCAGTGACACTTTTGGCAAAGCTCAAGCCAAATTAGATACTGATGCATGGCATGTAGCTCAAAAACCCTGCAGAGCTATGCAGAATGCAGTCTTTCAGAATTTGCCTTGGATGTTCCAAAAGTCTTTCCTGCACTGACCATTTATCTCCTGCTGAGGGAGCAAGGATCATTGCCATGGAAAGCAGTTATTAAGCCAACATTCGAGTCATCATCATCCAGGGATGTGGATTTACAGAGCTATAGAACTGGGGCAGTTTTAGATGTTTTTCTTTATTTCTTTTCTATACAAAGATCAAGGACCAACACAGAACTGTATCTTCAGCTTTTCTCAATTCAAGTTTTCAGCAGCATCTGCATAACACGTAAGAAACAACATTTACTCAGTCAAGTTTCTGCTTCTAACAAGGCCTGCAGAGCCAGGGTTACTGTAAAAGCAAGCTTCTGCCACTGCTCATACCTGGTATTCTCAATGAAATTTAACCTGCATTTTTCTTTCTAGGATAGAGTAAGTAATTGGTAAAGATACCTCCTTAGTTTTAAGTTCCTGTCCTACTCATCAAAATGAAGTGCAAGAACTTAATTCCTATCAAGTAGACTGTAGGAACTGTTACCTTCTGCTTCAGCACTTCCTTGCAGCTGAAAAAAAACAAAACACCCCGTTCTATCTCCATATACATGTTGAAGAGATGGCAGGCTTTCAGCTGACTTGCTCATTTTGTCCCATGCACAAAAGCTATTTCGGAAATATTGGTTTTGTTACACAAGTTTAATAAAGTTTTATAACATCAAATATTGCTCTTTAAGACAGTGTCTTTATTTCATAGAACTTCATCAGCATGATTTGTTCAGAAACTCACCCACCAGTGCTACAACAGATCTTACCAACGTCAGAACAGGATGCTGAAGCCCAGATCTTTTCTCTCTGTGCAGTTTTCCAGCCAGTCTGCCCCAAGCCTGTAGCACTGCATGGGACTGTTGTGCCCAACAGGTAGGACACAGCACTTGGTCTTGTTAAAGCACATACAATTGGCCTCAGCCCAGTGATCAGCCTGTCCAGATCCCACCGTAGTCTTCCTACTCTCACGCAGATCCACAATTCCTCCCAACTTGGTGTCACTCACTGGAGGTGCACCCCAACCCCTCGTTCAGATCATCAACAAAGATATTACACAGGGCCAGCCCTGGTACCGACTCTGGGAAACACCACTCATGACCAGCTGCCAGCTGGATTTAACTCTGTTCACTGCCCTCTGGGTCCAGCTGTCCAGCCAGCTTTTTTTATTTTGCAGTAAGTGTTCTCACCTCTATTGCTAAATGCTCAAATACTGAATTTAATTCCAATCACATGAAAAAGCGACACACAAGAAAAGAAAATCCCAACCTCCCCCACATCAATTCAATCAGGGATTACCTGTACAAAATTAAGGGACAAATGAGTTAGTGACAAGCCCACAGAAGTTCTCAATGATCCCTATTAAAAAGCAGAGGATGTCTTTAATCCTCTCCTGGCCAAACAAACCCTTACACAATTGCAATCATCACAGAAGTTGCTAGGTTTTTTTTGTTTGTTTGTTTGTTTTTGTTTGTTTGTTTTTTAATATCCTACATGTAAAGATGCTTGCTTTGCATTTTTTAAGAATTCAGCAGGAAATCACCTTACAATCACACTTTATCCCTGAAATTATTACCTGAAGCACAGAGAGCAGGAATACCATTTTGAGACTCCCAAATTTGTTTGAAAGAAATAATCCTAAACTGCACTGCAACACAGAAGGAATAACCTAAAGTATACAGATCACACAGTGAACTGAAACAAAACGGCAAGATATCAAAAATACATCAAAAGTAGTAAACTGTTTAATCAACAGGAAGTACAAATGACTGGCAGTATACTTTGAGCAAACCTAGAGAGAAGACAGTTGAGTACCATGCTGATGCTCACATATGACATCCTTGTTGAACTATAGAAATACGAGGTTGGCAATCTTAAACAAAGCACAAAAGAGGAGACAGCCAGGCCAGAAGGCCCCACTAGCCCTCCGCCATTCTTTTAAGTATGGCTCCCAGGCCACCCTTTGCCACTTTCAGTGGGGTCAGCTCTTCTTTATTCTCAATGTGAATACTTGCACCATTAGACACCAGCAGCTTTGCCTCATCCACTCTCTCTTCATCGCAGGCTAAATGACTGCAATAAAAACAAGAAACCCACAGCCACTTTTAAGTAGTCCAAGCTTACGAAGAGCAATAATTACGCCTTGTCAAAACAAGAGCAAAACAAGAATGCTGTGGGGAACGAGGGGAGAGAAATCCTACAAAAACAAAACCACACATGATCTACCACCTGCAAAGACTTCAAAGCCTTGCTCTGCAGTCAGCAAAGATAAGGAGCACAAAATCCATAGAGAAATTGGAAAACAGTAATCTCTATTTGAATCAAAAGCAATAAAATAAATCGTAAAGAATTACTGTAAACACAGCAAGTGCTTTTTTTTCAATTTAGCATCCTACCCTGAAAATAAATGCATATGTTCTACAATAAACTGTGTTTTATGTATAGCAAAAATACCCTGCTCAATCTTATTCATGGAAAAATCTTGATTCCAATGCAACAAGACAGGTTTCTTCCACCAACTTCAAAGCAGCTAAGGTTTCACTCTTACAGATTCAAACTGCTCTCTGAGGCAATAACAAACATTGGACTGGTTATACTTAAATTGCATGTCATTTTCCATAGAGAAGTGAGGAAAATTTCCAAAATTAGTTCTTACTTGGCAGGCCAGAGCAGGCAGCCTACAAGACCAGTTCCTTATGACTTTGATGTTATTAGCACGCTTTCTACCCCCTAGCGGAAATGGAATGCATTCCAAGTTATTACAAAAGGTGTTCTATATTTTATAATAGATGTAGTAACTAAAGTATGGGTGTACATACACTCTTAGCAAAACACTGATTATTATTTTCTAAAATCTTTTTAAATTACATGGGGATGTGACACAAAGAAGTATTCTGAGGCTTCCTAAAGTTAAAAAGCAAATTTGAAGTGACGGAGCTTCATTTCATGGAAATTATGCTATACCCAAACCAAACATAAAGAAACCCCAAACCAACAAATAAACAAAATCACTTACAGAGGAGTGTTCCCTTCTGAGTCCTGTATGTTAACAGATGCATTGTGCCGCAGAAGAATCTGTATCATTTTTAGGTTGCCTTTCGCTGCTGCTCTATGCAATGGGGTAGATTCAAAATGATCTGTTGCATCTGGATCAGCTCCATTCTCTAACAGCATGACTGCAATCTGAAGGCATAGGAAGAGAAAAAGGGGAAAAAAACTGAAGAAAAGTTCATATAACCAAACACTTTTTCTGACAGCAACACCAACTCCAGCAGCACCGGCAGCCGTACCTCCTGCTTATTTTTGGAGGCTGCGTAGTGCAGGGGCGTGCAGCCGTTCTGATTGACAGCATTGATGGGAGCCCCTTTGTCAATGAGGGCCTTCACGATCTCATCGCGGCCCGCCGATGCAGCAATGTGCAAGGGAGTCCAACCAGCCTGCAGAGGCAAGCACAGAAGTTATAACAGCAAAGACGTTACACAAGAAAACATAACCCCAGTGCAGAGCAGACTGCTCACCCGTCACACCGCACCTAGCTGTAGCACTTGGCATTACTGTCGGCAGGCAGACAAGTCGTAGGCCCGCTCACAGCTCCGCACTCAGCCCCGACAGAAGCCGCAGCCGCGCAGCAGAAACCACTTAGCTCAGCTGCGCGCGGCACTGCAGGGCACCTCCAGCACCAACAGCAGCGCTTACAGAAGATTTTTTTAAGAATAACAGAAATGACTGAAAATCGTATCCAAATTTTTGCCCCGGGCCGCCTCACTCACGTCGTCCTTCTCGCCGACGGGCACGCCGAGCCCCAGCAGGAGATCCGCCACGGCCGTGCGTCCCGCCGAACAGGCCCAGTGCAGCGCGGTGCGGCGGTCCTGTGGAGAGCGTGCGGCGGTCAGCGGGCACCGGGCCGCGCGGTTGCCCTGAGGGGACCCGCCCCCGCCGCGGCGCGCTCGACCGGCTGACCTGGTCGGTGGCGGTGGCCAGGGCCCTGTCACGCAGCAGCTGGGCGCGCAGCTCCTCCAGGCGCCCGGCGTAGGCCAGGTTGCAGACCTCGACGTTGGACACCGCGCCCTCCATGCCGGCCGGCAGCCCGCCCCACAGACAGGGCGGCGCCCTGCCCCGCCCCGCGGGCCGGCCAATCAGCGGGGTGCCGTGCCGAATCCGCCGATCGCGTCCGTCGGCCGCCTCCGCGCCGCGGAGATTGCCGGGATTTGTAGTCCGCCTGGCGGGACACGGCGCGCCGCCATTCTGCGGCGGAACTACAGCTCCCGGAGCGCCCCGCGCGGCCTCCGCGTCGGACCTCCGCGTCGGGCCGAGGAGGAGGATGGTGACGGTGGGAGGATGGAGTCAGGTGAGGGGCGGCGGGACGGGGCCGCGGGGCGAGGGGAAGCGGCGGGATCGGGGCGAGCCGCGCGCAGCGGGATCGCTGAGGTAAACCCAGCCGGCCTCGGCGCGAGGCCCGCGCCTCGGGGCTCGGGGCGGGACGTCGGGGCCTTCCGGCCGGGGCGGGAGCCGGGCACGGCGCCGTCGGCTCCGGGAAGCGCGGTCCGCGAGGGCTTGCCGGGAGGATCCGGGAGCTGCCGTCCAGCCGTGCGGGCGGGGCGGCTGTGTGGCAGCTGCGGGCGCTGTGCCGCTCTCACGCGGCGCCGTCGTTCTTCCTGCGTGAGGAGCGGCGTAGGATCGCGTCTGCTTCGGCTTCACGCTTGCGGTCGGCGCTGTTTCTTCAGGTTGACGTCTGAAAGACAACGACCGAGGGGCATTTTTACTCTTCCAACGAGCCCCGCTTTAGTCATGAAAGAAAAAGAAAAAAAAAAACCAAAACCCTGCAGCGATCGGACTTCCTTCTCTAATCGGTATTAATTACCGTTAGCCCGTGACGCAGGCAGACCCTCCTCCCCTCCCTCCCTCCGCAGCCGGGCCGTGCGGCGGCAGCCATGTCGTGCTGTCGGAGCGGGGCGGGGGCTGAGCTGCCCTGTTGTACTCAGTTCTGTCCAGGTATGAAAACCAGATCACTATTCTGTCGGAATACTTAGAAGAATTTCCCGACACCGATGAGCCGGTGTGGATTCTGGGAAGGCGGCACCACCTGAACGAAGGTACCTCTAACGTGAAGACTCTTCTGTGACATGCTGGTTGTGGTGCAGCAGCAGCTCCTCCCTGGAAACAAAACCCCCAGCTGTAGGTAGTGGTACTCGGCCCTGAACGAAACCCCTTGTCGCTGTCTGTCACTGCTGGTGCAGAGACTGCACGACTGGCAGAGATGTGAGTTCGGTCCCTGCCCATCACCAGACGCTTCAGAAATTAAAACAAATCTGCAGGGAATGGTTGGTATTGCTGATGTTATTTACCCTCGAGGGGAGCTGTCTGTCAGCTGTAAAGTGAGATTTCAAAATCATCAGCACAATAAAAAATAATAATCTGAGGCATGTGCTGTAATTTGGTGAAAAGCAACGTTAGCTTTAGCGATTGTATATGATTCAGAACTGAGTTTTGCTCCTTGGGGAGGGGACAAGGGCGTAACCCTGTGTTACATGTCAGTGGTAGCAGCTGTTATTGCAGCCATGGTATTGGGACAGCCAAGGGTCCTGTGCTCAGCCTTGGTGGGCTGAGAGATCCTTTGAAAGGCCAGTGGGTCTGAGCACAGCTCAGAGAGAAAGCAGCAGGTAAGAGCTTAAGAAATCTTTGTGAGCCTTTGGGAGAATTCTGTAAGTGTATATTGAAAAAAGAAAAAAGAAAAAAAGAAGAGACAAGAAAGAATTAATTAAGTCAGGTGGGACTTTCAAGAAATAACAGTGTATTGGGTTTAGAAGTGATGCATAATTCTATGCTGTTTGGCACGTAGAAATTCTTCACCTTAACTTGCTTTACCAGTTCTTTCCTAAGGACGTAGTTCTGCATAGCATTTCATTCAAGCTAGACAGAATCATTCCAAACACCTTTTACAACTTCATTGCCTGGTAATTATTTCATTCTTAACAATCCAACTTTAATTAAAAGTCTACAAAAGTTCTCAGGTTTAAAAGGCTAAAAAAGCATCTAAGTATTAAAGACCTTATATGTAGAAGTTAACAGGAGTCATCTGTGAACACTTTATATAGGCTATGTAGGAATGACTGGAATTCTCCAGTTCTAAAAGTTTATTTCTTTCCTTTTAAAAACATTCCAGACAAATCTAAGTTACTGTTGGATGTCAGTGCTCGTCTCTGGTTTACGTATAGAAGGAAGTTTTCTCCTATTGGTGAGTATACTGCAGACCTGTTGCCTCATTAAAATTAAATAGCAGGAGTAGGGATGGCCTCATGGACTGACAAATGATTTTTACATTATTACGTTTTAAGCACTGTTGTAATTGTTTATTCAAACAGCATATTGAAGTTATTAAAATCTATGTGTGCTTATACCTGCACGTAATCAGGTGCTCATGTTTGTACAGCAAGCAGTGCATATCTGTGAGTGTTGTTGAAGAATGCAGAGTAAGTCAGCTCCACAAGGAGTACATAAACCTTATTTGTGCTGCGTAGAGATTAGACCAGCAGTGTGGAAATAAAAGCATTGCATCCACAGGACAGTTACTGCACATTTCAGCAGACCTAACTGGGCTCTTACACTCTGACAGTTTCTCTGTGGTTCTGCCTCCAGTTCAAAGCCCGTATTAATTGTGATGAACCTTCCTAATAGGAGGCACCGGTCCTTCGTCTGACGCTGGCTGGGGATGTATGCTGAGATGTGGGCAGATGATGCTGGCACAGGCACTGATCTGCAGGCATTTAGGAAGAGGTGTGTACTGCTTCTGAGTGAACATCTGTATTGTCTGGAGACCACGTTCCTTCAGTGTGTGTGTGTGTGTGTGTGTGTGTGTGTAGTATTCCATAAAAGCACAAAACCCAGATTTATTAATGAGACCTTATTTGATAAAAGTTACTGATGAATTAGTCTTGTCTGACTGGGTGAAATCATAGCAGCTTTAAGCAGGGAAATAGAACAGGCAGGGAATCCTGCTGCTCTCCTTAACTAAGGAAACTGCCCCTATTAGAGGCAGAAGCAGACATGGCAGAGCTGTTGTGGATTTGCTGTGTGAGAGGACTTTCCAGTATGGACCTTGTATTGTTATTTGATGTATGCCTACAAATCTCACAAGATTTAAATAGAGCACGTGGTTTTAAATTACCTTGGAAGCTCACAGGTACTGTGAGCAGTAGTACAGCAGTAGCTCTCAGTGCTCAGCAGCCATCAGTCAGAATAAGTCTGCAGTTGATGACATCTTTGCCATTTAGCCTATGATGATAAAGGACAGCTTAAAGGAAATAGCAAAGTGTGAGTTCTAGAGACTCAACAAAATGTAAATTTTAGAGATGAATTGTATGCAGGTCGCTCTGAAAGTAATGCCTCCTGTTTATTTCCACGTGGTGTGCTCACACCCACTGTTTGGTCTCCAGAGACATTCAGCAAGTCTCAATGAATGACTGGATGCCATTTTTTTCTGCATGGAAGAATTCAGTCCCACCCCTTTGCTTCATCCTCACTTCCATGTCAGATGCCATGCTGTCACACGGCAGCAAAATGGAATGGGATATTGGTGGGAATCATGGAATCATTAAGGTTGGAGAAAACCTCTCAGATCGCCAAGTCTGACATCATAAAATGGGAGGCATTGCTTTCAGAGCAGCCCTCGTAGATTACTCTTGTACCACCTGGCTTTGTGGCTCACTACTCTCCAGAAATTTGATCAGGATAATGGAAAATTTTGTTTTTTTAATCTTTGTGTCTCCTCTCAGACTGGCAATGGGAAAAACACAAAGAACAACCAGAAGAATATCACAGAATCCTCCGATGCTTTCTAGACAGGAAGGATTGCTGTTATTCCATCCACCAGATGGGTGAGAACAGACTTTCTGTTTCTTCTTCTACTGAAATTCCTACTGTACTGAAACTTAATAATTTGAAATCTGTTAATTCGTAACTCTAAGTGGTGGTTATGAAGGCAGTGTGTATTTAGATATAAAAATGAATGTAGATGGCTATGGGGTATAATGGCACAGAAATGCAATTCACTGAGACTAAATAAATGCACATGCTAGAATTTGTCCCCTGATAAACTATGTAAGCCTTGGGTACCAGGGTCAGTAATATTAGAATAGACAGTTATGGAGCTTATTGATGTAATCTGTAATAATTTGTAATAATTATTTATAAATCTTACTGTTGTTCAGAAACTTTATTAAAGGAACTGCCAGTACTTGAAGGGAGCTTATAAGCAGGAGGGTGACGGCTGATAGTCAGAACAGGGAATGGCTTTAAACTAAAATTCTTCATTCTGAGAGGGCAGTGAGGCCCTGGCACTGCTGCTCAGAGCTGTGGGTGCCCCATCCCTGGAGGTGCCCAAGGCCACACTGGATGGGGCCCTGAGTGGCCTGGGGGGGAGGGCAGCCAGCCCACAGCACAGCTTGGAGCTTGATGGCCTTTAAGGTTCCTTCCAACCCAAGTATTCTGTGGTTTTATGGTCCCATGAACTGACAACAGGAAGGTTTGAAAAAAGTGTAGGTTGAGAAAATAATTGTTATTGCTAAATACGGTTTGCAGTTACTCAAAACTTCTTCTTTAACCAAGAATACTTTTTGTTATTGGATTCTTTGTGATCTCTCTTTTCTTCTGTGTTTGCGGTTTGTTTTTTTCCCCTTTACAAAAACAGCACAGATGGGTGTTGGAGAGGGGAAATCGATTGGAGAGTGGTTTGGACCAAATACAGTTGCTCAAGTATTAAAGTAAGTCAGATCCTACCAGCTCATTCAGAATGTATTCCCTCAGGGCACCTGGCTCAGAGATCAGGATAAGGCCCAGGCAGGGTTTTAAAGGCTGCATCTGCCTGTCTCAGAATCAGGGATACATTTACTGTGTGTTTACAAGTGCAACATGGGATACGGTAGGCAGAAACTGAATTGGGAATGGGTGAGCTCTAGATTTTAGTGCAGTGAGAGCCTGGAAAAGAGAACCTTGAAGTTGTTCCCAGCTGCTCTGCTGCCTGTGTGCCCTAATCAGTAGCCACCACAGATGTCTGCTTCTTTCTGCATAGAGGCACAGCTTTAGCTGGTCAGGA